ATTTTAGTCCTAAATTTGAATACTGCAGTTGTATAATCAATCAATATAGTGAAAGCAGTAATCAACACCAGAATGATCACGGAGAAACCCAACTGGGAAAAATTCCGGGCACTTTGCCAGTCAATCCACTATAAACGATATGTAACTTACAGTCTACCAGCCTAGACGACGACACGTACTATCTGATCTCCTGACTGCAATTCCAACAACTTTCTTGGATTCTGTGCTCCTGCACCACTCTCATCTGCAGTTTCCAAAGCTCTCCTGCAGCAACTCCTAACTTTGTGAAATCGTTTACCTTATGTGGATCCACGAAGAATACCGCGTTCTTCACAGACTGGAACTCCAGTCACATTTCCTCGATCTTCAGAACTCTGATCAGATATAGAGGAATAGCTGTTTGGTATTTGGATTATGAAACTGATGTTTTTCTCTCCAAAACAAACTCACGAGATGAAGGTTGAAGGAAGGAATCGAATCGATCTCTCATAGATGTAGTTCTCTCAATGTTCAACCTTCCAATTTTCATACAGAAGTATTTTGGTATTTTTAAGTAGGTTAGAAAAAACAAATGGGCCAGGAAAAGCCTTTAAAACGCGAAACAAAACTTTCGCGAATAAAGCTGTCGCTCGAGCAAAGGCTCAACGACAGTTGAGCGACAGTCTGTTGCTCGAGCAAAGAAGGGGCGATAGTCTAGCGATGCAGTTTCTATTTTTGTAGCTCGAGCCAACCCTTGGCGACAATCTAGCGAAAATCCGCGCCGTTTTCCTCCTCGTTCCAAACTCGAAACCCTGGATCTATTTAACTAACTTTTAAACAAATTGCACATTACTCCTTAAACTTTTACACTATATCAATTTATGTCCTTTTGTTCACAGAATTTGTTAATTACAAAATCAACTAAAACCTAACAGCTTTGACAAAAAATTATATCTTTTAATCTTTCTATCTTAAACTAATTTAAGCCCCTTTTTACACTCAAATTCTAGGTGTTAGCCGTTGAATGACTTGAGTCAAGTACTATAGCTCCTGAATGTGTCTAGAGCTGAAGAAGAAGAAGAGGAATAAATGCATTGATTCGAAACCAAGTTGGAGATATGGATAAACAAGAAAAGAGAAGGAAGGAACGCCGAAAAAATTAGTGATTGAGAAACTATAGACAATGATAATATGGATGAACCGAAAGAGAAAGAGAACGTGATTGAACCTGTCAATGTGAATGAAGCAAAGCAGAATGATGAAGATAATGTTCAACTATGTCACAGCAAATGCATAATGATGAAGATTATGAACCATACCTATGATAGTTGTATCAGCAGAAATAAGTTTCTCCAACTTGAAATTTATCAATACTTATCTCCGATCAAATATGTCATCGCAAAGATTGAATGGAATGACCATATTATCCATTGAAAAAGAAATGGTTAAACAACTTATTCAAAATTGATTGATATACAGAGAGGTAATTGATGTGAATCGGAAGGTGCAGAAAATTCTAATTCACAAACGGGACACTTATGATCGAACAAAAAATTTACTTCTATTTTGCTGATAAGATCAGAATAAACACAGAAGTATCAAAAAAGTATACTCGGTTTGTAAATCTTAATCATGGAATTTCTCCTATTTTCTAGTGATTTTAAACCTTTCATACTCTCTGAAAAGAAGGATATATACACATTAACAATGCATTATATTGCTGTTTCACCCGAAATACATGATCGCTCTGTCAAGCCACCAAGTCGTCTTCTCTTTCTCTCACTTAATCTCACTGCAAAAGGTCAAATCAATTGAATTCTAGCAANTAATACATGATCGCTCTGTCAAGCCACCAAGTCGTCTTCGCTTTCTCTCACTTAATCTCACTGCAAATGGTCAAATCAATTGAATTCTAGCAAAGAAGAAATGTAAAACACGAACAATACTGGAAACTGCATGAAAAAATTTGATTAGAAGATATAATATTCAACATGAAAGGTTTGAAGAGTAAAAGATGAGAGAAAACCTTGTTTAAGAAATCTACGATGCAGCACATCCTTAAATCTCCACTGATTGGATTCAGAGCCACCGTTGGAAAGCTTAGGGCTTAGTTCCCCAAACTTGTCGAAGAAATAGCATTTGCATGATGCACTTTGTGGAAATACATCATACTGAATTCCATCTTCTTCAAGAAATTGATTGTAAAATCTATAGTATCAAATATTGGTCAAAGACGCATGTGCACGCGTCTAGAAGTGATATACTAAATATCTGCACACAAACAAGCAAACAGACCACACACACAATGACTCAGATTATGTACAAATGGAAAAATAACAAAAATCATCATAAAGAGGCCTAACCTTCAGCGAGTCTGAGATCTTCCTTTAGTTTGAATGACAAAAATCATCATATTAATTATTCATAAAGAAGGTTAAGGGATACAATTGGAATAACATTTTGGGACCACGAAGATTTTGTGTAGCGCTTAAAGTAGCTATTAATTATTTTTTAAAATTATTACTGTGCTAATAAAAAAATTATGCTAATAATAAGGTAATATTGACTTTTTCATAATTGAACTTATAATTTTTGAATAGTAAAATTATGCACCGTGAAAGCCCATAGAGGTGACAATTTTGACAGAACAATTATTCACAAAGAAATTAGTATACTGTAGCATTCTCATTGGAAAATGGAAATTATGCAGACATTATGAACTCACAAAGTTTGACTAAATTTAATAAAGTCAACTCATTAAAAAATAAAAAACTAATGAAATACAAAAACAACTAGGGTCATATAAAGACCCTTCATTTATCGGAGCCCCAGTGATTAGGCCACAGCAGACCCGAGAACAAAATATTTTATGCCATGACTCTCTCTCTCTCTCTCTCTCTCTCTCTCTCTCATGTAATGTAACACACTAGAACAACATATAGAAGAAGCTCTAAAATAAGCTTTGGCAGGCATCAATATCAGATGCTTGTGAATCCAATATTCCCTTTCCTGTAGGGTTTGAGCTTATAATCTTCATTATGGAGGAGAATACCGCTTTTTGGAAGTAGTCATCGCTCACTGTTTTCAGGATTTCAGCGACAATCTTGAAGTCCAAAACACCGGCCAAAACGAGTCCCCCAATAATCTCACCAAAATTTGCTGGAGCTCTTGGTAAATCAATGGTGAGATCATCCAACAGTGCACTGTAGAGGAGGCATCCAGTGGCTATGTCCTTGAGAGTAAGGACTTTCTTGGCCAATGAATACTCGAGAAGTTTTGTTACTGGTTCCACACACGGAGGGCTTTTCTCCAATCCAAGGGAAATGGCCGCCTTGACAATTTCAGGATGGTAAGAGGGCGACTTCAACTCCTCAATACATTGTAACGCTTCGTCCACAAGTCGTACGCCAAAATATTCCTCCAAAAGGGAGACTGTTTTTCTCTTGAGTTCATCTGTATTCAATCTTGGGGCAGGAGCCACTGGCATGTCATTAACTGGTGCAATTGATGCAGGCGAAGCCTGTCTAAATGGGGCAGGGGCTTGAGGTACAGGTTCCATACCAAATCCTCCATAATTAGCTGCGCGAGGAGGAGAGGGTGCACCACTACCCCGCAAGAGGCCACTAGTTCTACCACTACCTTGAGGTAGAAATCCCTGGTTCGATGATGGAGACTTGCCAAATAGTGGTGGTTGAACACGGCCAGCAGGTTGAGCTGTTGAACCATTGCCTCTTGGCATTGACCGAGACCTTGGAACTTCCCAGTTGTCATTGTCCATCCCAGGCATCCCAGGCATCTTTCTTGTTCCAGGCATTCCGGGCATCATACCACCTGCACCAGGCCGATTCATTGGGAAGCCACCTGGGCTAATGCTACCTTGAGCACCGGAAGCGGATCGGCTATTTCTAATGCTAGCAGTAGCACCTGGACGTAACCCCAGATTCTTCTCAGCTTCCGAGTGGATCTCAGTGATGGTTTTGGCTTTCACCTGCACATTAAGAGTAGGACACCATGTTTGTAACAGAAAAGAGCATGAAAAGAAGGGCACTTATATGCTGTGAAGGCTCACCTCTTCCCGTCTGGGAATCCAATTATTTGCACGCAAATCAATAACATCACAAATCATAAACTTCAGTCGTGCAGCTAGCTGAGAGTTTGTTGATAATTCCTTCAGGCTATTGAAATACATGTCATTAATACGCTTTGATTTTTGGTTCTCGTCGAGCTGTTTACCAATGGTGCTAAAGAACTGACATATGGCCTCAACATTCTCCTCTGCTGGACAACTCTTGGTATCATGTCCTAAGAGTTGCTGTTCACAGAACCCATGTTATGTAAGATAATCTATTAAATTATGAGACAAAAAAATGTAGAAATAACTTGAGAAGATAATGCCATCAGGAAGAGAGGGTCCTAGGGGTGAGAACTAGGGTATACTCGTGTGTGCCACCGGGTGAGTGAGCACAGCGTGTGCATGTGTGTGTGTGTGTGTGAGAGAGAGAGAGAGAGAGAGAGAGAGAACCTGCACAATGTGATGAACAATCTTCTCTGGAACCATCTTCTGCTTCAAAAGCTCCCCAATTAGACGTATGTTTCCAAGTGTGCGGAGTTTGACCAACCTTTCCTTGTCCCTTCGTTCTGATTCTTGCTCAGGAGCAGTCATCTGCCTAACCTCTTCCCTCAATTTGCCAGCCCCTTCAAATGCCTCTTGGCAATTATTCAAAAGGGTTCGTTTGAATGTGATTTCTTTTCCACCAGGCTCGTCAGAAGGGAAGTTGGGGAGCTTCTCATTTAGATCAGAACATAGTTGTGCATACATGGGGCAAAATGTGGGCTCCAGCACAGCCTTGTCAAATATCAAGGAGATGACTCCCTGCACAGAAATGGACAACATAAGCTCTAGGAAGGAATATGCAACGCAAGTTAAAGAAGAAAATAAGTTGCCATGCAGGCATTAGTGTTAAAAGGACCTTTAAGATATCAGGCGTTGTGATCCCAGAGTCTATCAATTGACCCTTTAAAAGATCAAATTTCTCAGGAGTCAGCTTGTTCAGTATACTACAACAAGAATAATGTGATGTTAGCTAGAGCAACAATCAAATCACCATTGTCATGTATTTTCAAAAAGTGCACACAACAAAAAATAAGTTGTTTCTTCAAGGATCTCAACAACAGTAATGGCAAGTGGCAAGCAGGCATAACACACTGGTGACAGATCAAGGAGAACTGCTATAATAAACCAATAGATGGTTTGAAAAGCAGTCAAAATAGATTATTAAAAATCCAAAATGATATTATGAACATTCCATAAGAGTAGCATAAACAAAATGGAATACCCCTTCACGGTCTTCAATACACGCTCCTCCTCAGAAAGACGTCCCCTTCGAGCAGACCATGGCACCTCAGCCTTGATTAGAGCAGGAGTAGGTCCTCCCTGTTTCATAGACAACAAAAAATTGTTCCATCTTTTTAACAAAACATTACACGGCAGCACTTGTCAAAGATACCACACAACATAAACAAGTATTCCACTAAAGCTGTGTAAAAATTGAACACGTGAAAAAGTTAGCATCCCACTAAGAGTCGTTTTGAATATTAGCTAAAGCTTGGAGCATATTATAGTAAGTTTTAGATTAATTGTAAAGCAGAAGCTTCGTTGAAGATTTCCGAAGGTTTAATCATTGTTCAGGATTTGTAAGATCCAACCCAACATGACGCCTAGATTCCTTTGTTATCCAAGTCTTCGCCTTCAGCATGTTTTGGGTGCATTGACATTTTTAACAATACAAGTACAAATTAAACAATTCCAGTAATAAAACAATATCTTCTGATATAATAAATAGCATATGAAAGATCTTTCATGGAAACTTTACCAACTTTTTTTCTATATTTTACAAAAGAAAATGATATGATAGCTTGTTGATTTGTATCAGGTACTTAGCTTATGTTTGGCTCATATTTATAAACTGTTTACAAACCCTCATACTCATTATCTACACATTTCGAGAGACCAACAAGTACTATCCAATTATCCATTTATTCATCACTCATTTTTATCTATTTATAATTTAAACCATTTATAAACACTTATCAAACATGCTTTACACAGGCACTCAAAAACAAAGATCAAGTGCAGGAAAACACCAGTATCAAGGATTATCTTTTATTACCCCTTGGTTTTGCAATCTTGCAAACTGTGAGCTCAGCTGCTCTTGCCTATTGTATTGGTTTACTTCTGATTGCCTTGAATCAAACCGGCCACCAAAGTCTCTGTCTCGAATAGCTTCCCAGGGTCTCTCCTCTCCAGGAACAGGAAATTGTGCAGAACGATTCCGCCAGTCACGGTTGTCTGTTTCAGAATAACGACCCTGAGCCTGATTTGGAACCTATAAAAAGCAAATCATAGCCTATTATATTATCATCAAAGGATGTAATCAGGAAAAAAAGGACGAATTAATGGCCCCCATCAATTTCAATCAATTGCAAAAGGATGTATACAAATGTATACCCAAGAAACAAAAAATGAATGAACAAGAACACAACAAATTAGCTGTAGCAGTTTGGCTAAAATAGGAAAGAGATGTTTTTTTTATCAAAGTCCAGACAAACTCACGTTGCTTTCTCCATGACCCCAGCTTGGATCAATACCAGAAAATTCAGCTTCAACTTCTTGTTTAACCTTCAGAATTTCCTCAGAGATGTTGACCACCTAAAAAAAGACAAGCAGCCATATCAAACTCCAGGAAATCAATTAATGGCACTGCCACAAAGAATGCATCCGATAAATCTCGAAGATAGTGAAAAAAACAATATAACAACATGCACGTGCCAAAGGTTGTACGAAATAGAAGTGGCAGATCTAAGGGATGCTGTATGTGACAGTTGAAAGGATTACTCAATGAAAGAACAATAGCACTACAGCAAAATGCATCATTCTCCATCCCTGAAGAAAAATGGCCCAATGAGCAAATAAGACTAAAAGAATCGGCCTCAACTAATGGCTAGCGGTATATGTAGGAAGAAATTACATGGACACTGGAAAGACAACAACATAAACAAGGCAAATAGATACAGAAATAAAGAGAGAATTTAAATTCAACTTTAAGCAATGTTTATGATGCCAAGCCACCAGAACTAATGATAAAACATAATTTGGAAAGATGTGAACCAATCTAATATGGACAAAATGACTACAACTACTAAACATGAAGTATGTCAAGAAGCAGCACCTCCCTTAGCTGCAGCAGCTGTTCTCGGGTATAACAGATCCGCTCACGGCTCTCAAATCGGGATTCGCCAGTCTGTAATATAATTAAAAGAAACAGACTTTAATAGCAATCAACAGCAATATTAAACAATCAGTTTAACAAGTGACTGAAACACAGAGTACTAATTAAAAGTGTCGTCGTGATTTATATGAAAAATAGAGTGGTAACAGCTTAAAATAAACGACAAAAATTGGCCAAAGAAAGTATATGCCATCATGAGGGTTGCACAAAATGATAAAGAACGGTGATCTATCAAGCAAACTTTACCATATATAGTGATGGGTACTGTAAATTCAAGAAGCCCAAAAACTTGGGAAAGTCTTGATGTGACATTTTTGACCACCACTTAAAAGCAACCCTTGAAATTTTGCAAATAATCAGGTTTTAGGAAAATTCACATTGCAAGCAAAAGAAACTTCTTCCACGTCGAAGTATTATAAATTGCAACGTGTAAATAGATGGGCCTCACATGTTTGGTTAGTACAGAAGTCTGCATTTATCAGAATGTGGTAAAAACCTGCATCAAAGGCGAACTAGGAAACTAAATCTCATATTTCATACTACCAACAGTACCAAATATTGAGCAAAACTTCCAAGTGCAGTTTCCATATCAACATGTTTCTTTATGGACTGATATTCCTTGCATTCCCATCTGGAACTTATGTATTACTTTAGGTTCATATTTACAGCAACTACACACCTTAAATGCACTACCAAGAGTGATGTCATATATAACCAAATCCCATTCTAAGCTCAAAAACAAGCAAAATAAAATTTTGAAAAACTAAAGCTTTTACTTTTAAGTCCCCAAGAAATTTATACACGACAAAAACTTTTAATGTCTCTGGATAAGGAGAAATAGTTGAAAACTTAATTGATATCTAAATATCAGCTCTTTAATATTCCAGATCACATTTGCCATTAAAATGCACATGCAGCAAAACACAACTATGCGTGCAAAGCATTGGTAAGTGTAGTTAGAAATAAACATCATAAATATTTTGAGAATGTGAACACAGAGACAGGCATCAATTCATATATTTCAGTGGAGCACTGCAACAAATAAAAGATCTAGACTTCAAATATTCCTAGCAACTGAGAATACAGCAGACCTTGGTGCCACCGTCGTGAGCCCAGAACATATAAAGCTGGGTGGTAGAGATAAAGAAGGGTCATGCATTCCCGCCATACATTTTTTGGTTCTCTCTGCAAATAGATATATCTGTGTGTGCGGCCGCACACGCATCTCAACATGGATATCGATTCAACAGAGTAATACAGCACAAAATTCAGTTAAAAGAGAAATAAAAAACAACCAAAGTCGATAGCTTTACATACAATTAGTAAACGAATAACACACGAACACAATTACTCGGATACAAGTATGAATAAGTGTGTGTCTACAGTCTACAGCTATGTTGATTCAACAAAATAACAGACACAAAATTCAGTTAAAAAGGAGAGAAATAAACAAAAATAAAGTCAGACCTTTACAGGTTACATACCATTCCTTAAAAAGCTAAATACAAATAATACGCGCATATGACTATACATATCATAAAAAACATCTATATAAATCAACATCCGGAAAACCAAAAACTCAAATCATACTTTAGATTCAAAACCATTCATAACTGGTCAAGAACCATAGATCTGAAAAAACAGCATAAAAATTTCAACCTTTAAGGAAGGAGCGCCGCCAACGCCACGGGGACGCAACACCGGGATATCAAAATTGACCGCTGCCGCCTCGAAACGCTGACCAAAAACTCTGCTTCCTCCGCGGGAACCTCCTCCAGGTCTCAAACTCAACACCGTCTTATCAGCCTGCATACCTCGCAAATCGGAAAATACTTCTACGCCGTCCAAACAATCTCTTATACAACAACAAACAAATTCTCTATATATAACGATATATACAGATTTATTTCCTTATTATGTAATAATTGATAAA